GCATCCCTGGCTCCTCTCCCCCTGCACCCAGGGTGCCCACAGGCATCCAGGTGCTCTGCAGAGCGGGAGGTGGGCTGAGTGTACTGGGACTGCCGGGTATGGGGCCAGCAGGGGTTGGAGAAGGGAGTGACAGGGCCAAACCCATGTCCTACAGCTGGCAAAGCCTAAGAGGGCTGGGGGTCTTGCGGGGCAGGCGGGTGCCCTGGTTGCATGAGCCGTTTCTGTCCCTGCACAGCGGTGACATCCCTCTCCATGCCCTCTGCTGGCTTCCTCGTTATAATGCACATGCTAACGAGGCTGCAAGAGATGAACGTTTGCAGTGTGCTTTGCATTGGAGCCTGCATGCTTGTTAGCCCGTGTGGGGAAAGCTGTATGTCCCCCAGACACCCCCCACAGTGATCAGGGATCCCTCTTCCTTCAGGACCATGTCTGGGGGGAGTTTGTTGGTGCTCAGATCTTCCCCTGGCACGGAAGGTCCCCCAGCCGGAACTGAGCTGAGCCTGTGGGCTGTGTGCTGGAGAAGCTCTCAGAGCCACCTGATCCACCCCCCTGATCACCGCCATGTCACACAGCAGCCCTGGCCCGAGCCCTGGCACTGCCGCAGTTTCCCCTTCCTCAGCAGATCCTGTCCCCTGTGGACTCTGAAACCAACTGATGGACAATGCAGATGCATGAGAGCTTGTGCTGGTGACCACAGGCCCCGAGAGCCTGAAGCCACTGCAGGGTGCAGCTCCAGGGGACAGTAAGCCAGCGAGCACAGGCCATGGGGTACAAAACGCTTTCCAAACCAGGGAGCATGACACCCTCCCCCCACTTCCCACATTACACACATGCACCAAGGCACCCTAAGACTTCCCATACCACCCGGCTGCCCAGCACCCAACATCCACAGCTGGGCAGGGGTAGAAACCCTGAGGCTTCCTCCTCTCGCAGCATTTACCTTGGTCACAAACTTGTTTTCTTTCTCGAGCTGCTGTGCACCCTGGTCATAGATGGTCTTTTTGACAGAGCATGGTGGGCGGTAGGAGTCGGTGTAAGTGCTGATGGGAGTCTTGTGTTTTTTGGAGAAGAGGAACATGGTGCCGCAGCCCGCTGGGACAGGAGCGCTTGGAGTCCCAGAAGGTCTTGAGGGTGCCCCACTGGATGAGCAGCACTGTGTGGGGCTGGGGGCTTGCAGCCCACGCAGGAAAGGGGACAGGGCTTGTGCCACTGCTCTGTCAGCCCAGGGTGGTGCTTGTGCTATCAGTGATGTCATAGTGTGTGAGCAGGCGGAATCCGGTGGCTTTCTGTCAGTCCCATAGCTATGCCCTGGTTCTAGCCTAGGGCACAGCAATTGCTGCCTGCATCCCTCCATGGGCTGCACCCTCCTGGCTTTGGCTCCATGCTTCCTCCCCTCCTGCAGGTGATGACCTAACAATAGTAGGAAACGGTTTCAGCTGGTCCTAGTCGAGATAATTTTATTTTGGGAGGTGCAGGAGCAGCGACTGTAGCTTTTCCAGCTCCTCTCTCCCATATTTCCTTGGAAACACTGCAGCAACCCCCGTTGCGTGCACACAGCAGCGCGGCCAATGACCAGAGCACAGCACCAGGCGTTGTCCCACACTGCTGGGGTAGCCAGGGGAATTATCACCTGCTCTGTCTCCCCATTTTAATTAAAAAGCTGGATTTTAGGTGATCGTGTGTGGCTCTTTTGCTCTTCTGTCCTGAGTGATGGGCTCTGCAGTCAGAATGAGCGACCCTCATCCATCTGCAGTGCGCAGAGCTGGGTTATGCCAGGCAGGGATCTGCATTTAGTGGGTTTGGTTTTCCCTGACCTGGGGGGCCGAGCAGAAATCCCTACCCCTGCAGAAACCCCGCTCTGGCCGGGCTTGTCACACAGTGCCAACTCAAGAGCCCTGCTCTGCTCCTGGCTCTGCCCCGTTCTGCTGCCATGTTTTTGGAGATGATCCGTGTCCATCTCCGCAAGGTGGATGCCAACCCACCCCAGTCACCTGCTGTGTTTGCTGCGGGTGGGCGACAGTGGGGCTGGGCAGCCGGGGGCACCCGAACGCCTCCCGGCAAAGGTGATTAATGCACCGTTAGAGATGAAATGAAGAAAATGGCTTTCACCCCCCGCTGGTCTGTTGAGCCAGGCTTAGGCTCTCCATCAGCCCCATCCCCTCCTGGGAGGCAGCAGGAGGCTGGGAGGGAAGGATGGACACCAGGGTACCTACCTACACCCCCTCAGCTCCATGGCCTCGGAGCACTGCAGGGCACAAACCTGGGGAGCACCGCTCTGCAGAGAGGTGGAGTCCAAGCCTCTTGGTTTGCAGGGGACTAATCCTCATTCCAGCTATCCGGAATGAGCCACTGTCCCACTCACAGCTGTCCCCTGTCCCCGGCAGTCCCTGGGGTTTCCAGCTGCTGGTGTTGGACTTTAAAATCGGTGCTTGGCTTCTGTGTCAGCAGCTTTGAGGGGCAGAAACGGCTGCAATGCTGGAGAAAAGGTTATTCTGCCCATTGATGTCATACAGATGCAGCACTTCCTTCTGCTTCTGTCGCAGCCCAGATGCAGGGGCTGGGTCCAGCCCATGCACCTTCTCCTTGGGGAGCAGCGTTTCCCAAATGCTGGCTGGGGGCTGTGCAGCACCGGCAGTTTTTTTTCCTTGGGCCCCCCCCCCCCCCAGCCACTTCTACTGGGCCCAAGCAGGCTGGTATTGGCCATGGCGTAAAGGCTGGCACCCCCTGATTTCAGTATCCATGATTGTTGGGGGCTCAGAGGAGATGGTGCAGTTCGTACCCTCTCACCCCGGTTCGCTCCAATGAGAAAGGCTGGCAGGCTGTTTTTCATATGTATGCTTTTTAATATCATTAATTCTGTTACACTACACACAACCAGTAACAATGATAAATACTGCAATGGAAATGTTAAAAAAAATATTATACATGTTTCATGTTTTTGAAAAAAAAAAAATACCACCCACATTTTAAAATAAATTAATGCATAAAACTGATGGTAGAAAAAAGAAAACCCAAAACAAACCACAACACAACTGATCTGTTTAAGGCAATACTCTACGCAGACAGGAACAGAAGTACAACAGTGTGCTACATGTTCTGAACGGGAAAAAAAGAAAGAAAAGAAAACCCATACAAGATGCAGATTGATGCTTTGGGAGTGAAAAAACTCCCAAAAGCAGATAATAAAACCAATGGCCAAGTTAAGTGCAGCATTAATACACTCTGCATGTCAAATGATTAGCAGGTTCCTAACATGGACTAAGGTCAAGCTACAACAAATTTATCTTCCTAATTAAAAGGTCATTCAGGTCAAATCCTACATTTAACTCTACTTTGCATTTGGCTGTTTCAGCTGTGTTTCACTATATGCAAGGACAGCCGGAAATTCATCTCCTGCTCTTGAGATTAACACAAAGGTCGGGAGGTCTCTCCTCCTGAAAGATATTTCCATTAAATACATCCAAAAAGGATCTTGCTTTTGGTGATCCTGAAATGCCTCCTGCCACCCCCTCCCCTGGGGTGCCGGGTACCACATGGGGAACAGAGGCCTGGGAAGCGTTTGCTCGGGTTGAGTTTTTTTCCAAGCTGAGGACACGAAATGGAAGTGCAGATTTGATCCGGACTCGGAGGAGTGCTGTTTCCCTGTCTGCCAGGACTGTCTATCCGAGCCTGCTGAAAGCACTTTGCCAGCATGGGAGACACCCAGCCTGGATACAGCCACGATGTTTGCTATTAAGTTTGGTGTGAAGCTCCATACCTGCTGGGACAGCCAATGAACCTCAATTATTAATGCAGCCCAGAACTTGGCCACTGGAAGGTGGACAATAATCATAATGGCAAAAAAATCCCCCTCTCCCTCCAAAAAGAAAAGAAAAGGGACAGTAGCCACTTTCTGCCAGCTTCCCCTGGTAGATCCCCATCAGCTGCCACCTATGCAAGATTGGCATCGTCAGATCTCACCAGCATCGACCCAGTACATTCCCAGTAAGGTGCATGTCTGCAAGGTGCTGCCAGGGGGCTAAGAAGCTTCTTGAAACATGGTCAGAGCCTCCTGTACTGCCCTGCTAGAGCACATGCGGAGGAAGCTATGGTACACAAGGAAAGAAACCCAAGCGGAATTACTAGACTTGTGATGGCTAACAACTGTCCGGGCTGCTTTGGGCTTGGGTGGGAGACGGGGATGCAGAACTGGGCTGAGAGTCACTTTGGTGCAACTGCCTCTGATGCTCATCACTGGTGCATGGGGCGGGGGGAGGAAAGACAATGGCTGCTTTGAGAAAAGAGTAGTGGAAGGAGGACGTGTGCAATAAAACGAGGCTTGCAATTCTAGGACTAACCACTGGACACGGATACTTAAGATTACCTGTGACAACTAGCTATCCTTCTACCATCGCTGCTCCTTCCCCCACTTCCTGGTCTGATTCTTCTTCAGTTTGGGAAGCCGTGGCTGTTTGGCACGATGGCCCACGCTGACTCTCCCACCCCAGTCCCTGCACAGCGCACGGGGTGACTCAGCTACAGGATGTAATGAGGTCTGGAAGTCGCATGTTAGGCACAGACCAGCTCTGCATGCAAGTAGCATCTGCTTTCAGATCCTTCAAAGCTATTTAATGGTGGCTCATTTCCTTTATTAAACTGAAGGTTCAATAACCTCTGTGGGAGGAGTAAAAATGGTTAAAAATGTGCAAAAAGGGGGGAAAACCCCCACAACTTTCTGAATTTTCTCTCCTGCAAAGACTTCATCCTCTGCAAGAGCCCTTCTCCCTGCAGAACTACAGCCCTACCGGTGTGTCTTACAGCGCTCTGCCCCAGTGCAGCAGGAGCACAGCCAACAGGCATCCCACCCGTGCCTCTGCTGCAGGTCTCCAGCCTGCACCAGGAGCACATGGGCTGGTAGGCCTGGGACCTGGCGCTTGGGTCCCAGACCTCCCACACCACTGAGACCCAGGGGGGTGAAGGCGGCCAGCTTGGCTTGCTGGATCACACCAAGGTTTTACACTAGCCTGGTGAACCCTTAGCCCCACAGCCTTCAGGTGGGTACAGAGAAATCCCAGCCTGCTCTCTGGATCACCCATGATCATGTTTGTTGGATCTCCCATCTGCCCATTGATGTCATACAGATGCAGCACTTCCTTCTGCTTCTGTCGCAGCCCAGATGCAGGGGCTGGGTCCAGCCCATGCACCTTCTCCTTGGGGAGCAGCGTTTCCCAAATGCTGGAGCTAGGGATAGAGATGAAGGTGATAAAAACCAGAAGGGCTGTTATGAAAAGAGCTTGTCCAAGTTTTCCAGCTCTCCCCATGACTCTGTATTATACCTCCTAACAAACTTTGCATCTCTGAAATCATGCAGGCTCCAGGAAGGTGGGTAACAAATGGAGTTGCATCTCTTCTGGGGTGCAATAAAACTGATGGTAGAAAAAAGAAAACCCAAAACAAACCACAACACAACTGATCTGTTTAAGGCAATACTCTACGCAGACAGGAACAGAAGTACAACAGTGTGCTACATGTTCTGAACGGGAAAAAAAGAAAGAAAAGAAAACCCATACAAGATGCAGATTGATGCTTTGGGAGTGAAAAAACTCCCAAAAGCAGATAATAAAACCAATGGCCAAGTTAAGTGCAGCATTAATACACTCTGCATGTCAAATGATTAGCAGGTTCCTAACATGGACTAAGGTCAAGCTACAACAAATTTATCTTCCTAATTAAAAGGTCATTCAGGTCAAATCCTACATTTAACTCTACTTTGCATTTGGCTGTTTCAGCTGTGTTTCACTATATGCAAGGACAGCCGGAAATTCATCTCCTGCTCTTGAGATTAACACAAAGGTCGGGAGGTCTCTCCTCCTGAAAGATATTTCCATTAAATACATCCAAAAAGGATCTTGCTTTTGGTGATCCTGAAATGCCTCCTGCCACCCCCTCCCCTGGGGTGCCGGGTACCACATGGGGAACAGAGGCCTGGGAAGCGTTTGCTCGGGTTGAGTTTTTTTCCAAGCTGAGGACACGAAATGGAAGTGCAGATTTGATCCGGACTCGGAGGAGTGCTGTTTCCCTGTCTGCCAGGACTGTCTA